ATTTATATTAGTTTTACTTTATTATTGATATGTGATTCTATTGGGTTTGATTAATTATGTTGATTTATTTTAATTGTTGTGGCATATTTTGATTTTAATTGTGCACTGAGTCCTTGAGAAGTACAGTGATATAAAAATATAGTTAGTAAGTAAATACATCTATCCATCAGTCCTGAAGGTGCTTTATTAACCTCAAATTTATACACTATTTACCTGACATGGCCCTCAAACCACTTTGGACCATGAGATGTATCCTCCCAGTTAACCTCTGCCAGTTTTAACTGTCTTTTGTTTGGAAGGACTTCTGCTGTCATTGTGTCATTGCACAATCCCTTTCCCAGCAGAGGTGAGAAAGTGATTAAAGAATGCTGTAATGTTAAAGATTCCTTCTTGCCGTCACTTGTGACTGTGATGTGTTTACCGCTAACAGATTGTGAGGGACATAAGTAGGTTTTTTCTTCAGACAGTCACCCAACTGAGTAGCTTTCTTTGGAAAACTGCCAGTTGGGGTACAGTGGATTATGAAGGAGGATGGGAAGAGTTGAGTGCTTGCATAGTGGGTGAATGACACTACTAGCAGAGGGGAGGCAGGGAGTTGTATGGATTGGAAAGTTTTGAACCATCAATGTTTATCAGACCAAATCTGGATTCCCCTCACAATGGAACAGCGATGCAGATGGTTCCACCATAATGCATTTATGTAGTGGGGATGACTAATACTTGGACATGATCGTGCAAAAGGGGATTCAGTTCATCCCATTTTGTTACCAAGAACAAAAAGCGAAAGTCACTAGTATTTTTCTTCTGTAAAAGAATGGGAGCAGATGAACTTGAAAGATTTCCTGTGGGTTGATTAAAACTTTATAACAGTATATATGAAAATTTTGAAATTAACTGTAAGAAAACTTCCTGTGGGAAAGTTCTGCCGACTGGAGGATAAACATATGATAAGAGGGGACTTTGAAGGTTGACTAGAGGGAACCAGAGAAAACTAAAGATTACAATTAAAGGAGAAGAGACCTACTAATACAATGGAGCAATATTATTTGAGTATAGAAGAAATGAAAGCTGTCTGGGAACAATATACTCAGTAATTACTGAATGGCAGAAGATTGTCTGCCATTATAGAAATGGATGGAACAGAGGTTACAGAAGAGGAACAGACTTTAAAGGATAAAATAGAGACTGAGGCTGATTTGAATGTGGATTTCAAAACAGATTAAAAAAACAAACAAACTACAAGAATGATATGGAAGAAGATGATGTGGATTTGAAAGCAGATTTAAAAAC